TTTAAATTTCTTGTTACAATAAAGTATTTCTCTTTGTTTGTTTTTCTACAATATCGTTAATAATTATTAAATTAAAAATTACTCAGAATTAGTTCACGATGTTACTGCCATGTGGCGTGAGTTCGACTATTATTATTCCGGTGTCGTATGAATGGGCTAACAGCAAAGAGCTTCAAGAAACACCTCTCGCTAAACAGTTGGATTAAGGGCCTGATACAAAAGGCAGTTATTTTGTAAACCCCGCATTGTGAAGAGGTTCCCCTTTCTCTGCAGCCCTGATACTGGTTGCTTGAGTCAAGTGATTTCGTAGCCGATGCTGCATTATTTTTTTATATTTTTTTTCTAATCATCAATTGTGTAAAATATACAAGGTATTCGTTTTTAAAAATCTACATTGTCTTAAATTAATCCTCTCTTTATGCCTCACACATGTGCGTTGCTTCAAATCCTGTACTTTTTTGTTTTGTGATTCGATTTTACTTTCATTTTGGATCAAACGAGGAAATGAAAATGCCTAAAATTGTAACGTACTAATTTTTTGCTACAGTTAAGTTCGCAAGTACAATATTATAGGATCATATTTATTAAACGTAACATATTGTATAAAGTACAAAATATTTTTAAAGCAAAATTAAAATATAACTAAAATGAACAAAAAGGGGTCGAAGCGTCTACAGCAGCGGTGTTGAGGTATGGAACAATTCCAATTCCATCCTCTCGGAATGAAGTTACTCATTCACGGGAAATAGGACCGTCTAATCCCCTCCTGAAGAGTGACAGTCAGGTGAGCCGCGTCGCCTCCCGGACACTGGCGGCGCCCGCACCCAAGCTGCCCTCAACTAGCTCTCTGTGTAGACACGGACCCCCACTGATAGTACAAGTGCGGGTTTCTTATATACTAAACGTTGAAAAAATGTTGATAGCGTGATTCAGGCAAATCTCCGCCCACAAGAGAACACACGGGACGATAATTGCCCGCAAATAAAATATATTTACTGTTTTATTGCACATAAACGTTAATATTTGTCACTTAAACTGGCCAGGAATATATTTGTGCGTGGTGTCAGTTAGGAACCAGTTTTTCTGGAACTATTATTAATGTCTTAACTACGGTAACGTAAGCTGCCAGAACCCTTTCACCTCTCATCTCCATAGTGGACGATTTTTACAAACATCATAACAAAGAGAAATTTTACAATCATCCTTAATGCAATAAAAAGATCGCCAGTTAACGTAAGTTACCGCGTCACTGCTACGATTCAATATCCGTAGCACTACGTAGCAGCTACATTTTACTACGAGCGCTATTTACTATTGTCGCGTAGCTTGTCAACGTTAAGTTGTCGTAAAATAATTGGGTGTATTCTTTATATTTATTCGTACTAGGAATTAAAACAACAAAATTTGAATTGTAGCAACTAGATTATTGAACTAGAATTACGTATTAATGTTTTCCTTATACATTTGTAATGATGCCTATGATTTACGTAGAAAAATGGGCTAGAATTTGTTGTTATTTTATAAATTGTAATAGTATTATTTTGTTTGACATTATTGTTCGTGTGTTCTTTGCCCCCAATCTTTGTTCGTCACAATGACCACGCCTCCTAAGTTGTACTACGCACTGGGAGTTTAAAAGCTCGCTCTTTAGTCATGTGCTTTCTAGGGATAAAAGCTTCAAGTTTTAAAACGCACATTTCCTACGATGCCTGCTACATCCTATTACAAGATATACACTTCCAGAATTCGGATTATCAAGCGTAGCATGAGGTTGTATAGGACTGCATAGTTATTAGAACGGCGGTTCGAATGCGCGCGCTTTAAATCGAACAGTGTGTACTTGCTGCACACACAAGAACAGAAAGCTCCTGTACGCTACAAGAAACGCCCACTTTTGCACACAAACAAACATTAGGGAAAACAGACTGGTTTATTAAAATATATCCTAGATGTCGTTTTTATCAAAAATATAAAACATTTTAATTAAAAGAATTTAAAATTTTATCGTAGCAATTTTCTAATTTAAAATAATCTTTAATTGAGAATGAAATGTAATTAAAAATGAAAAGAAAAAATAATCTTGGTTGCTTAACACATAACTTGGGAAGCGAACCATCTTCATACGTGCATGTTCGCAGTTTTGTATTGGCAAAGTAAATTTAAGTTTAAGGTTAAAGTAGTAGGACTGTGTAGTTATTAGAACAGTATTTTCAAGGCGCACCCTTTTATACGGCCAGTGTATACTTGTTGCAATACACAGGAACATAAAACTTATGTACGATAGTCCCCTTTTCGCACACAAATTTTAGGGACATAAAATGTTGTTTTCCTAATATTATATTTAAACTTTCATTTTGCCAAGAAAATTACTTATTTATAAGTAAGATAATAATGTTAATATAAGAGAGGAAATGAAAATGCTTAAAATTGAAACGTACCAATTTTTTGCTAGAGTTAAGTTCGCAAGTATAATACAATTTTATAGGATGATATTTATTAAACGTTACATATTGTATAAAGTACAAAATATTTTTAAAGCAAAATTAAAATATTACTAAAATGAACAAAAAGGGGTCGAAGCGTCTACAGCAGCGGTGTTGAGGTATGGAACAATTCCAATTCCATCCTCTCGGAATGAAGTTACTCATTCACGGGAAATAGGACCGTCTAATCCTCTCCTGAAGAGTGACAGTCAGGTGAGCCGCGTCGCCTCCCGGACATTGGCGGCGCCCGCACCCAAGCTGCCCTCAACTAGCTCTCTGTGTAGACACGGACCCCCACTGATTGTACAAGTGCGGGTTTCTTATATACAAAACGTTGAGAAAATGTTGATAGCGTGATTCAGGCAAATCTCCGCCCACAAGAGAACACACGGGACGATAATTGCCCGCAAATAAAATATATTTACTGTTTTATTGCACATAAACGTTAATATTTGTCACTTAAACTGGCCAGGAATATATTTGTGAGTGGTGTCAGTTAGGAACCAGTTTTTCTGGAACTATTATTAATGTCTTAACTACGGTAACGGAAGCTGCCAGAACCCTTTCACCTCTCATCTCCATAGTGGACGATTTTTATAAACATCATAACAAAGAGAAATTTTACAATCATCCTTAATGCAATAAAAAGATCGCCAGTTAATGTAAGTTAAAGCGTCACTGCTACGATTCAATATCCGTAGCACTACGTAGCAGCTACATTTTACTACGAGCGCTATTTACTATTGTCGCGTAGCTTTTCAACGTTAAGTTGTCGTAAAATAATTATGTGTATTCTTTATATTTACTCGTACTAGGAATTAAAACAACAAAATTTGAATTGTAGCAACTAGATTATTGAACTAGAATTACGTATTAATGTTTTCCTTATACATTTGTAATGATGCCTATGATTTACGTAGAAAAATGGGCTAGAATTTGTTGTTATTTTATAAATTGTAATAATATTATTTTGTCTGACTTTATTGTTCGTGTGTTCTTTGCCCCCAATCTTTGTCCGTCACAATGACCACGCCTCCTAAGTTGTACTACGCACTAGGAGTTTAAAAGTTCGCTCTTTAGTCATGTGGTTTCTAGGGATAAAAGCTTCAAGTTTTAAAAAGCACATTTCCTGCGATGCCTGCTACATCCTATTACAAGATATACACTTCCTGAACTCGGATTATCAAGCGTAGCATGAGGTTGTATAGGACTGCATAGTTATTAGAACGGCGGTTCGAATGCGCGCGCTTTAAAACGACCAGTGTGTACTTGCTGCACATACAAGAACAGAAAGCTCCTGTACGCTAGATGAAACGCCCACTTTTGCACACAAACAAACTTTAGGGAAAACAGACTGGTTTATTAAAATATATTCTAGATGTCGCTTTTATCAAAAATATAAAACATTTTAATTAAAAGAATTTAAAATTTTATCGTAGCAATTTTCTAATTTAAAATAATCTTTAATTGAGAATGAAATGTAATTAAAAATGAAAAGAAAAAATAATCTTGGTTGCTTAACACATCACTTGGGAAGCGAACCATCTTCATACGTGCATGTTCGCAGTTTTGTATTGGCAAAGTCAATTTAAGTTTAACCTATACATATTATACAAAATTAACATAAGCATTAAAGTAGTAGGATTGTGTAGTTATAAGAACAGTATTTCCAAGGTGCACCCTTTTATACGGCCAGTGTATACTTGCTGCAATACATAGGAACATAAAACTTATATACGATAGTCCCCTTTTTGTACACAAATAAATTTTAGGGAGATAAAATGTCCTTTTCCTAATATTATATTAGAAAAAACAAAATAGCAAGAATTTCGTTATCTCTTTTACTTTATTCCACTTATTTAGGGTCGGCGCATTAGGTTTAGGTTATTCACCTTCCACGCTATCTATCATTGACACATTCTATTTTCCCTCCTCATAACAGAACAAAACCACGCTAATCTTTTGAATAAACATTTTTGGTAAGGAAATTGGGCATTAAGGAAATAGTAATTTAATGAAACTTAATTTTTGAAAACATCTTTATATAGTTATTATAAATCTCGATATTTTTTTAAGAATAACACGATTAAATATCTTAAAACTTAATAAAATCTTTAAACATTTTAGTTATGAATATAACTAGGGTAAATCAAAACACTTTTGCGTAAGAAAACATAATACGCACTAACCATTTAAAAATCTACTTATAAAAAAGATTAAAATATTTTTTTCCAATCAATGTAATTTAAAGAACAGGTATTTTTTTTTCTATCTACAATAATTTAATTAAAGAATTATAGATATGTAATTAATGAAATAGTAATTCAATGAAATTAAATTTTTTATAAACTCTTTTATTTAATTATAACTATATATTTTTTTAATAAACAACACGAATAAATATCTAAAAACTTAATAAAAAGATAACGGTATTCAAACGGTATTTTAAAAGTAGAAATGTAAACTTAAAACATTTCAATTTCGAATATAAAGAGGGTACAACAAAACACTGTTGCGAATAAAAACATATCTACCAAAAAAAAAAGTATTAAAATATAAATTTTTCACTGCTTAGTGGAATTTAAAGAATAGGCAGATTTTCTGTATCTACAACCATTTTATTATCCTTACCAATTGACCAGAAGTATTGGAAGATGCTAAAATTTATGACAGGAAGTTCACTGTCTTTATCCTCCGGCTCCTCGACTATGTCATCGGTTTTGACGTGTTTTTTTATCGTATCTAAAACTTCCTCGATCCGAATGTCATATTCTGGACTACCTACAGCTGCAGGCAATGGATACCAATAAAGATCTCGGCGCCTCACAGGTTGAATTATTTTTATGTGTTGATTTTCAACTCGTCTTATTGCAACATTTTTATTTGCAACTTGTCTCTTTCCAACTCGGTTCCTTTCAAGTTGTTTCCTTACCATTTTTTTGTTTTCAAATGGTCTTTTTACACCTCTTTTCCTTTCCGGTGGTTCTTTTTCGAATAGTTTCTTTTTTCTTCCAGGTTGTTGCCTTTCCATTTCTTTTGGTACATTATTGAACATATCATCTAATTCGCTCATCAAGAAATGTGTCAGCCATTTTTCATCATCTTCTTTTAAAGCGGCCAGCGCAGGGTCAGCACGGATATCGTTTTCTGAAAAAAGATGAAGAATATTATGAAAGCTGAGTCCCGCGATTAATTCGGCCCATAATCAAAAATAAATGCCAATAACTAAATTGGGCGCTGCGAAGATTCTAAATTCTGGCGCGGCTAAACGTAGTACATTGATCAGTGGGCGCCACACAGGGCCCGCGCGCCCGAACATTTCGCACCCTGTGCCCAAAATAGATTGATTGATATTATTCGTTTAAAGTATTCCACGCTGATTTGTATCGAATTTGTTTTTATAAATCCGTAAATGAAAAGGAAAAAACGGAACCTTTATAGGATCACTTTGTAGTCCGTCCGTCTGTTAAGAATCCTTTTTTAATATCTTACTTTACTATTTTGAGTATGTATAAAAGAAATTAGCAAATAAAAAACATTTTTTCTCTACCTTCTGTTTTTTTGTTTCGCAGATCCATAGTATGCAACATTTTGGCAGTTGTCTCCTTTCTGTTGCCTTTCTTATTATTCTGTGATTTGGACTTCTTTAAATTTTGTGACAATGTGTGTTTTGTATTAGTCGCCATCTGTAAAAATAGTTCACATTAAAAATCACGAAATATTACGAGATAGGAGGGGGATAAATAAGATATCACGTGTTATAATTTTCCAATTTAAAATGTAAATTTAATTAGTAAATTATGAAAATTTTGGAAATTTCATTAATTTGTAATAAAGAAATACACGTGATTTTATGTATAGAGGATAAGTTAAAATCTTAAATGACTATAAAACTATTGTGTAATATAAATTCGAATAACGACCAATTTACGCTACTTCACTGACATAAAATAAGTAGGACACGAAACTACCCTCCAGCGTCAGTTTGACAAAAAAAAAACAACAACGAATAATAATTATTCATGTTTGATAATTATAAGTTTAACTACATAAAAATATTTTAACCCTTATGTTCATTTTGTATAGTATACCATACATACAACTTTATAAAAATATACGATCAGTATAAAATAATTTTTAACTTAGTTTTTTTGCTTTTTTAAAAAAAAAAGAAATCTTCAAAAAAAAATTCTTACCTCTTTGTTTTTTTATGTCACAAAATCACAGACAGATCCCACAGCAATGTCCCTTTATTATCAAGAAAGTATGAAACATTCGTTTATGTCTCCTATTCTACACAATAATTCGTTGTATTGTAAACTATTTGTTTATAAAATAACGTTTCAATTGGAGTAATATGGACATATGCAACTGGGCTGAAACTTTAAACTAAAAACTTTTACTTTTAAGGAGGGTTAACTGAAAAATGAATCAATTTCTACAAATGTCAAATTTAAATATAACAGCTGTCATATTACTTACTTAACATTACTAAGGAATTATGGTTGTGTTATGTATAATTTATTTGTGCCATAATAATACCAAAATTATTGTATTTTTTTTAAAATTTAACTACCATAAATAGGTAAAAAAAATCCACACAGCAAATTATTTTAGATGTACCTACATATTCGATGAAATATTATCTCGTAATTTTATGAAGGTACTTGTATATTTTAAAGTAGTTTTTGACAATTCATAACGATAATCGTGGATACGGTAATACGGCATCGATAAAATTATTTAAATAATTTTTTACTTAAAGGGTTAAGATTTAAAAAGAATAAAAAAAAATTAATAAATTTGGTACAAAGTTGTCAAAAAATTGATTACTTCGTTAATAGATTTTTTGAAATAAAGGATTAAAAATTGACCTTCCTTACTACCCATTCCCTTTAATTTCTTACTTATGTTTCGTAAACAAGAGCTCATAAATGAACGGTATATTTATACGTAGTCAGTTATCAGATCAAATTGCGTTCGCTACGTCGTAGCACCGCTGCTCACCTGTCAATGCTCTTACTAAATGTTTATTGATATTTTAATAAATAATTTTTACCCAAATTTCATATAAAATATTTATTACATTTCAAAACGTTCTCAACTAGATATAAATACCGAACTAATATAATCAATAACAGTTGTAGACGCCAACAACAGCCTCTGTAGCACGAGTGGGCGGGCTCGCCCTACGTAATACCACGACAACACAGAAGACAGGCTTCAATTGGACGTAAATCCATGTATAGTCTGATGAGTGTGCATTCCATATGCCTAATTTCAGTCCTCTTTACCTTGTCACCCTCTGTATGCTCGGCGGTCGCTTAACCACTTCGCCGATTTCAGGTGACCGTATGCTCGTTTGCCACCTTGCAACATGTACAAATATATGAAAGAATAATATAAAAACATAAATAAGCCCTGAGTACGTAGCAAAAATGTTATCTACCAATTCGAAGTAAACGCCGTCGATGAATATCTATATACGTCCCCGGGCCAGTGGAAGATGTAGTATGTTGCTAGTAATTACGAAAGTAAAGTTTCTTGTAAAACACCTGTACCTTAAATGACTGGAACAATTTAAAAAGCTATTATTAGATTCTTAGTCTCAAAGGAAAACCGTGGGCCTTATTGTTCTTTTTGTTTGCATAAGGTTATATTTTTATTGTATCACCATTAAGCATTTAAAAAAGGATTCGTTCACTTTGACTTGACTATTATTAGATTAAATTATTATATTTAGGCCAAACGCAAAAATTTGGTTTAAATTGCTAATTTAGCGAATATTAAACAGACTTGTAAAGAAAAAAATATACTGTGGGCGTATGCACCTGCGCTCAATAGAGATGTCAAAAGTGACGTTTTGCGCCCCCGCATACCGCTCCCTTTGCCGCTTGTCGGATCGCCACGTCTTAGGGGCGAACAACATACATGAGTTTCCATTGCCTTCTAAATAAACACATTGTTCTTTGATAATTTTCAAAGATTATGTAATGGATTGTAATATACCTTTAAAAGAAAAATGTACAATAGTGTCTCCATCTACCAATAAACTTCGAATGTGTCTTAGTTTGTACGTCTTGGTAATGTGATTATTTTTTACTATAATGACAATAGACGTAGGCATGGTATATTCGGGCTGTTTGAATTTTTTTGACTGCATTTGTTTAACATGAAATCGTTACGATAGGCAATTGTGCATATATTATGGTAGATAGGGAAGGGTTGTCATCATGGGCGTCGTCAGAGAGGGGCTGGGTGTCTGCTGGCCCCGTGTGAGAACTATAAAATGTGAAATACTGTAACACACCATATTAGTGGTTGCTGCCCATCGCTTTCAGACCTAGTTACCATCAGTGGCAACGACTCCGGTTGTCCACTCACAGAATTTACAATAAAATTACAATTTAAGAATACAATGTTTCTAACAAATGTATGATAAAATATTTATATTTGTTTTTTTTTTCAAAACTTGTACTTTGCCTACAGGATTGTTATTTAATTAAAAAAAACATTGATTTTCATAAATACAAGGTCTTTTTAATCATCATTGTTTTTCGGTTGAAAAATGGTTATAAGTCTTCAAACAAAAACCAAGAAAGCAATCACCCGTCTGCTGATGGGTGGGAACACAGGACATATAGATTTGTGCATTGTCCTATAATTAAATAAAACAACAACATCACATATTAATAAACAATTTATTAGGTATTTTTACATAAAGAAAAATTAATATAAATAATATTAAATTACACAACATATAGTGCAACAAACTTATCTGGCAAGTAAGGTAACTTGTATTTAATTTATTATGCTTGATGTATTTTCTGAAAGCACAAACAGACAGTTCCACTTTCAGTGAGCCAGATAAATTTGTAGGAGTATTCACACTTATATTAATATATCATTAAGAATAAACTTGTTTTACAAAAAACAATATAACACTTGTTTAAAACAATTTTAGTTTAAATGGCTCATATTTATTTAAGGAAGACGGCCAGTTACAATCTTAAGTCAGGAAAACAATATTTAAAAGAAATGCTAACAAATAAGGTTTACAAGTAAAAATATTGTTGTAAAGGATTTAGCGGTGAGCAACTCGGTAGAAGCTTAAAGGAGTGTAAGCAAAGTGTGTGTGTAACAGGGATTGAATGTCTGGTTGTCTGCAACTTTTAATTTTACATATGTCTGCACGACCACATTGTTCCATTTGTTTTCAAATATAATTTAATCAATCTCCTGTTATAAGATACAAAAGTCATTGGACGAGCACAACTGAGTGGTGTGATTTAATAAATTGAAAAAACAGGTACATCAAATAGATTATATCAAATTGGTACAAAGCCTTGGGGTAGGAAATTCTTATGGATTGTACAAGATTGGGTTATCCATGACCATAGTATTTATCTCCGATGATCAGCCAATAGATTGTTTAGTATTTTAATTGATAAAAAAAAGTAAAACAGCAACTTATACAACACATTTCGCCTTGGCGGTAGCCGAGGAGTGACAAAAGAGAGTCTTGCCAATGGACTCGGCTTTGCAGAGTAAGACATGGTTCTTTTATTTTCGACCGTTACTGTTTTAAACCAGCCAGTTGTTTATTAACTTGAGATCTGAAAGAAAAATTGTGTAATTAATTATTTGTGGTACGCTATTTATCAATTATTGTTATATACCAAAGTGGCTCAATAGATCTCAACGAAATTTGGCATGAATGTAGAAAACAGTCTGGAAAAACACTTATATTGCTAGTTAAGTTTTTTGTAGAAATTCCGAGGGGACGGGAGAAAACTAGTTTCACAATTTCAATAAATTATTTTTACATCAGATTTTTAGTTTAAAGAAAAAATTAAAATAGATTTTAAAATGAAGAAGTTTGTACAGCCATTTCATATTTTTTATATTTAATTTTATTTTTAATATATTCGTAGGCAACGCTCACCTTTAGCAGCTAAAATTCCCTATTTTATTGATGATAATCCTACAGAATCCTCGGGCATTTCTGGAACAATGCACTTTTTTAGATTTAGAACGCAACACAGTTTGTATCTCAGGTGCGCACGGAAGAAAACAAGGGAGGAGCGCTGACCGATCGGTTATTGATTGTTTCCTTTGACATGACATTGACAGTTATATGGCGCCCGATGGGCGGGCGGCACTGACACCTTTAAATGGGCTATTCATTGAGGTTTTTGTGCCTATTTGATTTTCGCCATTTTGGCGCTGATGGTTGCGGTTTGCGGCGGTGGTGTGGATTCGAACTAATAATTTAGATAGAATTAATTGTCACGTAACATCAGCAGCGCGGTAGAATCAGAACGAAACAAAAGCTATCATTTTCAAGCAATTGCCTATCCATTTATACAGACGAGTAGCGGGCGGCCACAACGACCGATTGTATTATGGTACATTTTTTGAATGTACTTTGAACTTAGGTGCACCAATAACATTTTGTTTTTCTTGTAGTTTTTCTCCGAAATAGTTTGGATATTTTAAGTTTTTGTATTTATAAGGATATTTTAATTTATGTTTTTATTTCACAAAGAAATAAAACTATTTTATAACGCCATCTCTTAGCCACGGATTTAACTTGAAAAGTGTGCGAAAGCTTGGCTCGTATCTAGATGAATTTATGTGTTGCAAATTATAATATCTTTCAATAATGAAAAAATAAAAAGGCATGTTTAGCAAGACAGATGAAACCCAGAGAAAAGTTGTCTTTGTTTAATCAAGTATGATAATGTTATTTCGTATTTCTAGAATTTAAAGTAAAGAAATTACTAGTAATTAAAAATTGATTTAATGTTTCATTTTTTTTAACGGAATTTGGAAATATCGCTTTGATTGTAGCATAACTAACTTTAATAGTACGAATCACATTATATATGACATAAATGCCTTTAAACGGCGTTCCCTCAAAAAATTTAGGGTAAAAAAATAAAATTTTATACATTTATTTTTGCTTAAAAAAATAGAATTAATGTATTGTAAACAACGGTAGCTGTCTTCCCCTAAGAGCTTGGCCCGTCTTAAAAGGATCCCGCACTCATAGTACTTCTATTGTGATCGATGGATCGGTCGTCCTACAAAAAATGTCCCTTTGTAGTATTGTGGCAGAAAATATCATCGTCTTTTATTTTATTACATAAGAACTATCAAAGGTAAAAAAATAATACGACCACTCAAGAACATCTCATGAGAAAAGACGAATACGAATTATATCATACTAAGAGCCATTTAATAATTAATTGAGCAATTCCTTAGTGTATTTCTAATATTAAATCTTCACAAAGGGATTCTTTAGTAACCACTTAACGTTTTTGAGTGGTATTGACTCTTAAATATTTAAAACCTATTGCCTTTAAGATGTACCGATGATTT